CCTGGTCTAAACCTGTTCTCAATGCTCTACTGTAGGCTATATCTCTTCTATCTGCTGCTATTCTGATTTCGTCTGAAAACCATTTCTTTCCCTCCCAGACTTTTGGTATCTTAAATTTTTTCTTTGGCGCCAGAATGTCCAGTACATTTACTAATTTATTAACGAAATTTTTAGCCTTTATATTAATATCTAAATGTTGATTTATCTCGACTTTTTCCTTCAAAATTCTAAGAAATTCATCTACATCAAAATTGCTAAAGTCTCTACCTATAAATTCTTTATATTTGTTTCTTTTCCCTTTTGTATTAAAATCTATTTTTAACCAAGCATGGTCCGTAATTTTAGGTTTTTCGCAGACCTGTGTCTTTAATATCTTGTTCGAAAATATTAAGTCTATAATTGTTTGACTATCTTTCGTGGACCTTGTCGGACTATCCACATATTGCTTCATCCCTAAGTTTTGCATTGCTGTTAATAGTTTCCTCGTGTAGAACGATTCTACACTTACATCTATATTAAAATCCCCGATTATTATACAATCACCTTTTATTGTCATGCTTTCTACTACGTCTTCTAAGAATCGAATGAAGTCACCATCAGATGCACTAGGTGAGTGATACACCACTGCTATCACCCCTTTATATAAGTTATCTTTTACTTCTATCGCTAAGCACCAACAGTTTGACAATAGCTTCTTCTTTTCAATTACTTTGAATTTAATATTTTCTTTAACATATAGCAGAACCCCTCCTGTGTTTCTATTCTCGGCATCGCATCTCACAACGCTATAACCCGGTACGTTAACCTCGCTATCCTCGATTTCTGGGGTCAGTCTAGTTTCTGTTAACGCTAATATTGTAGGTCTTCTTCTCTTCATAAACAGGTGTTGTATTTCGTCTTTGTGCGCCATTAAACTTTGTGCGTTCGTATAACACAAAGAATCCTCCTCTGCTGGTTGCTATTTTGAGTCCTCCCATCCTGCTCTTCTTTTTTCTTCCTCTAGAATCTTCTTAAACGTCGGGCACTCCGAATCTATCGCCTCATGCTCGGTATTCAATTTCAGGTTATACGTCTTATTCTTATAAGTACAGTTTACACAGTTTTTTATAGCTGCCGTACATTCATTCACCTTGTGATAACCCGCACATTTGAAACACGCCTCTTGTCTCGTGCAGTTCTTCGCCATGTGGAAATAGCCCCAGCATTTGTAACATCTTACGACGCTGATGAAGTTGTACACTATACATTTTCTCCATCCTATATTTAACTT